GGGGGGAGGGTGGTAAGGATTTTTGGAGGGGTGGGCCCGGTGTGGGTTTTTTTGGGGAGGGGGGCGGGGGGAAAAATTTTGGGAGGGGGGAGGAAGAATAGTGTGGGGTGGCCTGGTGGCCAGGGGGGGAGGGGGGGGGAGGGGTTATGAAGGGTTTAAAAAAGTTGGGGATAGAATGTGAAAAGGGGCAGGGGGGGAAAGAATCAGGGAAAGGGGGGACCCGGGCCACAAATTTAAAAGGGGCCCTTAGTTCAATGGAAGGGGGAGGGGGGGTAAAAAGGGGTTGAGTGGTAGGGGTTTGAATGTAAAATGCGCGAGAAACCCCCAAAGGGCCTGGGGGTTCTTAATTTTCGGTGTTTTGTCAATGGATTGCATTGAAGGGTTGGGTGGTTTTTTGGCTTTTGGAGAAGCTTTTGGGCCAGGGGCTGGGGGGGGGGGGGTGATTTCCGGGTTTTAAGGGTGGGTGCTTTGGCAAAAAGGGACCCCCTTTGTCTTCGGCGGGAAATTCGGGGGGGGGATGGTGTCTGGGGTGGAGTCGAGCTATTTTTTGTAGGAGTTTAATCCCCCCCCCCACAAAGCAATACCAGGGAAAAAGTGTTTTGTCAGAGGGGTATTGTGTATACTTGAAGGTTTGCCTGCTTAACATAATAGGTGGGTGTTTGGGAATTTGTGTGTTTGGAGTGGTGATGTCGAACCGAGGGGGGCGGGTTTGTCTGAGGTGCGGGGGATGTTTGGGCGAATATTGGGGTTGTTGATGGGGTGGGGGGGGGGGGATCCCTATGGAGCAACGTTCTTTTCCTAGGGGTTAAGCGCGATTGGACGAATTTATTTAAGCGGGGTATGATGTTGTGGGGGTTGAAAACCCTTCGATGGGGGGTTTTGGATCACGGGGGGGTAATAGCAGATTTGAGGGGGATGGATGGGCGTATTTATTCGGGGTATGGAAATTAAATGAAAGGTTTCTTAAGGAGGATTGGGGGGGCCTTTTTTCAGTTTTGGTGGTTGCCTTTTTGGGGAGGCTGGGACGGGAGTAGATCTGTTGATTGGGGGGAAAATGCAGGAAAAAACCGGGGAATAGGAAATTTTTTTAAGGTTAGGGGGGGAAGGGGCGAGGGGCTTTTTGGGTTGCAAAATTATCGGGAGGGACGTTGCAAGATTGTTATGTTGGGGAGGTGGTATGAGGGATGTCATGGACAGTTGAGGAGGGGATCGTGAAATACACAAGGGGATAGGTTCGATGCAATTGGGGTTAGGGCGGGGTTAGGGAGTTTGTGGGGTGAAAAGGCTGGGTTTTGTTTTCGAAAATTTGGGGCCCGACGGGGTTAACCACCATTCTAAAATTTGGAGACAAGCCCGGGGGTTTTAGGGTTCCATGGGTCGAGTCCTATCCAATACTGAAGATGAGTCTCTATGCGATAGTTGGTTTGGGAGAAATGGTTGGAGGGGGGGGGGGTTCCTGGGGGGGTATTTTTGAAGGGGGGTTCCATAGCTTTTTAAGTGAGCAATAGAGTGGGGTTGGATTTTGTTAATGGGTTTAGGGGGAAGGGCAGTTTTCGGAGGGATACGGAAAAACACCGGGGATAGACGGTAACCAAATGATTTTTTTTTAGAGCACTTTGGGGGGTGTATTGGCGTGCTTTTTTAGGCTTTTGGGGATCATTTTTTTTCTAGGGGAAGTTGGGCACATGGCAAAGTAGGGTGTCTTTTTTTGGTGCCAAAGAAGGGGGGGGAAAGGGGTTTGAGTGCTTTCCGAGAAATTTTTTGATGTGTGAAATTTAAAAGGTTTTGAAAAATTTTGGGAAATAGATGAAGAAGGTCAGGGGTCGGGTACTTGGGGGAAAAATTTTGGGTATCCCGGGGGGAGTATGCGGGTAGGTCATGGAGTATTCGGGATTTCCTTGGGGGGTGTAGTAAGGGGGTATTCTGGGTTGGGATTGGGAAAAGCTTTGTTTAGTTGATGGGGGACTTTTTGTTTGAGAGTATGGTGAGAAGGGGTTTTGGAGGGGGGGTGTTGGATGGGTGGGGACATTTTTGGGAAATGCATCGATGAGAGTACAGGAAAATGGTGGGTTTAGTTCGAAGCATGGGGGGGGGTTTAAGGAGGGGTGCCCACTCTCCCAAATACTCTTTGCATGTATGCAGAATCCTTTCTATGTTCTGGTTGATGGGGGATGGGAAGGATGGGGGAGAGGGGGGATTTTGTGGGAAAATTTTTTGGTTATGTAGATGTACAACTGTTTTATTTGAGATGAAGATTTAAGTAAAGTGGGGGAAAGGGTTAATTTAGATTTTGGGGAATGTACTGGGGGAAGTTAATAAACAAAATCCGGTTTTGGAGGTAGGCAATTGGGTAGGGGGGCGGGGGAGGAGTTTGGATGGATAACTGTAGATGGGTAAGATTTTGGATTTTGTATTTAGCAGATGTACAGGAAGTAGGAGGGTTTAATTAAAAAATGGGTTGGACAAGCTTTGAGTAGGCTCAGGAGTCTAAGGGCCGGGGAGTAACCTTTCTTTAAAGGTTGTGGTGGTAAATACGTGATTTATAGTAAGGGGGGGGGAGTGGGGGAAAATTTACCCCTTAAAAAGTCAGGATATTATGGAATTACAAAAGAAAAGCCCTTTAAAGGTTTGTTGGGGGTTTTGGGAGGGCGTGGTTTGGGTAAAGTGTGGTTAAAGATGCGGTAAGACAGGGGGTTGGGAGTTGCTTAGGGCTGGTGAGGCGTATAGTGAAGCAGAGGTATTTCCGGGGGAGCGGGGGAAAAAGGGGGTTTTGGGGGGGGAGGTTGGGGTACCGCAAATGTGGGGTGGCAGGGATTAGTGGTGTGAAGATATGTTGCGGTTTTTGTTAAAAGGGACGCAATGTTAAAAAACTCAAGGAAAACGGGTTTTGGGGTTTGGGTCGTCGTAGGAAACAAGCAAGGGTGGCGGTATCCCACATTTGTTTTGGGGAGTGATATGGGTGGTTTAGTAAATTAAAAATACCGGGAAGAGGAGGGGAATAGTTTTAGATTTTTATGGGGCGTTAGCATCGAAAAAGGGGGTAAGACGAAAGGGTTTTTTTGAGAGGGGGCTCATGCGGGTTTTTTTTGGGGGAAATGAAACGGCTTTTTATGTAGTAATTTTTTTCGCTTTGGAGGGGGTAAGATGTGGGTTTAAGATTTTTTTTTATTGGGGGGGGGGGGAAGATATCAACCCTCAGGGCTTTAATGTTTGATATGGGGGGGGTCCCAAAGAGGGGGGGGGGTTCAGATACGTAATAGTTATTACTCATGTTTCTTGGGGGGTGGGGAGGTAGAGGGAACTTAGGTAAAAACGTTTGGCGGGGGTTTTTTTTATAGGGAAACATGTAGGAACAAACAAAATTTATGGGGAAAGGGGGGGAATATTTTTCCAGGGGTATGTAGCTTCTGTTTAAAGTTACTCCCTTTTGGTGACGGGGGTGAGAGGAAGGGTTGGGTTTTCAGTGGTGTGTCTCTTGGGGTGATTGGGAAACCGGTGGGGAAAGGGGTTGGTTTGCAAGGTGGGAGATGTGGGGAAAGTTTTTTTTTTTTTAGGGGACCCTCGGGGCTCCGGGGGATTGACCCTTTTTGAATTTGTAAAAAACGGAGGGCAAAGTAGTAGTGATTTTCTGTTTTTTTTTCCTTTTTGTTATAAGAAAAATTTTATAGGGGGTTTATTTATATGTATATTGTGAGGATATGTTTTATACATTGAATTGATGTTGAATTTTCCTTTTATATGTTCTTTTTTATCTTTGAATGGGGCATAAAGACCTATGTACCAAAAAATTTAAAAATATTTTTAGGGGGTTTTTATTTAAACCCTTTATTTGACTGGGAAAGGGCATATTTTTTATATTGATGTTAATAGGGAAATTAATTTTTTGTGTGTGTAGGTGGGTTTTTGGGAACAAATTTTAGGGTTTGTTCTATCATTGGAGTAATATTTTTTTAGTTTATTTGGTGAAAATCATTTTGCTTTATTTCTATGTTAAACCCTTTTTTCTGTATGAACAATGAACATACACGTATTGTTATGGCATGCTTATATGTATTAAAATTTATGTGTTAGTGTGTATATATTATATATATTATAGTGTTGTATTGGGATATATATATGTTTGTATATTTTGTAGACTCATTCCTACTGTTTTTTAATGACTCCGACTGTTTTTTGGAAATCGGTTGGTTGGGTTTTTTTTTTTCGAATTTGTTAATCAAAAGGACAAGTTTTTTTTTTGTATCTGCATTTTCTGCCATTCTGTTTTGGATGTTATTATTTAGTTTGTTAGTTTTTTTTTTAGTGATATCTTTTTTGTTTTTTTTTTTGTTTGTTCTAGTTAATCCCGTTGTCTGTAAAACATATGTGCACTACATGATGTGTATATGTGCATGTGTATTTTAATACATATATACATGATTATAGGATTTTTCCTACGGTTTTTGACTCCCCGTTCTATTTTGTGTCGGTAGGTTTTTTTTTTTTTTTTTTTTTTTTTTTTTTTTTTTTTTTTTTTTTTTTTTTTTTTTTTTTTTTTTTTTTTTTTTTTTTTTTTTTTTTTTCCCCTAAACGGGTTGGGTTTTTACGGGAAATTTCGTTATATCAAAATTTTAAAAAAGGTTTTTTTTTTTATTGTGTGTACTGCATGTCGTCACGGTTTTTGGGTTTGCTAAATTGTCGGCTTGTATCGTGTAAGTTTTTTTTAAAAAAAATATAAAAAAAAAAATAATAAAAATTCTAACCATTCGTGCAGTCAACGGAGTCCTCAGTAAGCATAAGGGATAAAAATTCCATTTTCTTCGCTAATAACATAAAATACAAAAATATGCATTCAAGTTTATATGTAATAAACATTATTTCATTAGTGGAATGTTTAGAAAATATTATTTAGATAAGTGTTAAGTGTAAAGTGTTGCTATAAAGCATCACGCTTCATCCAGGGCCTGGGCCCTGGCTTCAGTGTTTACGGTACCTTGTAACAGGTGGAAGGAAGAGGAAGGTAGTGCACACCAGGAGCTGAGGGAGGGTAAGCGTCCCTCTGCTGCTGGAGTTTTTGAGAGAACTCTTGTAGTACAGTACGAGACAGTGAACCGCTGACCTTGCACGTGAAGGATATAGTATGACCTAACGTTGAGTGCTTTTTGTGGTTGTGAGTTAATTCAGTGACTTGAATGCTAACAATGACAACGCTTGGTAGGCTGTGGAGGCAATATGTGCCAGCCAGGTGAGTCAAAATATGAAGGGCGTTGCTATTTAAGCCAAAATCGCAAATTTTACCTATTCGGCACATTTAGAAACGCTGCCTCACTTTTCAACCAGAAAAGCCTTGAAGGCGGGTAAAAAAAAAAACCGCTCCTTATTTTGGGAGATAAAAATTTTTAAAGCTAATTTTACTGCATCTAATATATTTTTTATTATCACTAGAGTCTTGCCAGTCATGGTATTAAGAAAAATGTGGATATGAAGTACTTGCATGTAATGAATGTGTTTAGAGACTGCTTAGGTGTATCAGTATTATCTCAATACACCATCACCAAGGTTGAGATGAACTTGGTTTATTAAACTCTACCTTCACTACAAACCTGTTGGTAACAACGTTTGGTACAGGATCATACCGCGTGTATCTGTACCCCACATAACCCTTTTACAGGTTTACAAGACCGGTCACCCTTGCTCACATACACATACCCAGGGCACAAATGCCGTTACAAAACCTGTGCATACCCCAAGCACCTGTTACACCACGCCCACTTGCATGTACACCAGCACCTGTACACCACGCCCACTTGCATGTACACCAGCACCTGTACACCACGCCCACTTGCATGTACACCAGCACCTGTACACCACGCCCACTTGCATGTACACCAGCACCTGTACAACCACGCCCACTTGCATGTACACCAGCACCTGTACACCACGCCCATTGCATGTACACCAGCACCTGTACACCACGCCCATCTTGCATGTACACCAGCACCTGTACACCACGCCCACTTGCATGTACACCAGCACCTGTACACCACGCCCACTTGCATGTACACCAGCACCTGTACACCACGCCCACTTGCATGTACACCAGCACCTGTACACCACGCCCACTTGCATGTACACCAGCACCTGTACACCACGCCCATTTAAACGTACACCAGCACTTGTACACCGCACCCATCTGCACATGCCACGTGTTGCTGTACGCGGTGGCGCGCAGTACATTTCTCTATTCATGTACGCTAGTACTTCTGTCAGATGTTAATTCATGAAAATTTACAATGTTCACTTATTATATTTCATAATATATATTATATATATAATATATATATATATATATATATATATATATATATATTAAAATATGCAAAACAACCACTCTGAAAGAATAGAGAAATTCCAAGCGCTTTCGTGACTACTCACATTATCAAGGAACTATGGTTCCTTGATAATGTGAGTAGTCACGAAAGCGCTTGGGATTTCTCTATTCTTTCAGAGTGGTTGTTTTGCATATTCTGAAATCACCTGTTTACTGTGATCTTATTGCATATATATATATATATATATAATATATTATATATATATATTATATATATATATATATATATATATATATATATATATATATATATATTTATAATTTGTGTGTGTGTGGAGGGGTTGGGGGTGAGAAACACACACACATGTCAGTAGTGTTATTACTACAGAAGTACAGTAAAGCTGACACACACACACACACACATAATAACAACTGGAAGCTGAAGACTCAGACGAGTCACAGGGACGTTAGGAAGTATTTCTTCAGTCATAGAGTCGCCCAGGAAGTGGAACAGCCTAGCAAGTGAAGTAGTGGAGGCAGGAACCATACATAGTTTTAAGAAGAGGTATGGCAAAGTCAGGAAGCAGAGGGGAGAGGACCTAGTAGCGATCAGTGAAGAGGCGGGGCCAGGAGCTGAGACTCGACCCCTGCAACCACAATTAGTCGAGTACAATTAGGTGAATACACACACACACACACACACACACACACACACACACACACACACACACACAGAGGCTGGACATGTGGTCCAGTAACTGGCTTCTCGAATTCAATCCAGCCAAATGCAAAGTCATGAAGATTGGGGAGGGGCAAAGAAGACCGCAGACAGAGTATAGGCTAGGTGGACAAAGACTACAGACCTCACTCAGGGAGAAAGACCTTGGGGTGACCATAACACCGAGCGCATCACCGGAGGCACACATCAACCAAATAACCGCTGCAGCATACGGGCGCCTGGCAAACCTGAGAATAGCGTTCCGATACCTTAATAAGGAATCGTTCAAGACACTGTACACTGTGTATGTTAGGCCCATACTGGAGTATGCAGCACCAGTCTGGAACCCACACCTGGTCAAGCACGTCAAGAAGTTAGAGAAAGTACAAAGGTTTGCAACAAGGCTAGTCCCAGAGCTCAAGGGAATGTCGTACGAGGAAAGGTTAAGGGAAATCGGACTGACGACACTGGAGGACAGAAGGGTCAGGGGAGACATGATAACGACATACAAGATACTGCGGGGAATAGACAAGGTGGACAGAGATAGGATGTTCCAGAGAGGGGACACAGGGACAAGGGGTCACAACTGGAAGCTGAAGACTCAGACGAGTCACAGGGACGTTAGGAAGTATTTCTTCAGTCATAGAGTTGTCAGCAAGTGGAATAGCCTAGCAAGTGAAGTAGTGGAGGCAGGAACCATACATAGTTTTAAGAAGAGGTATGACAAAGCTCAGGAAGCAGAGAGAGAGAGGATCCAGTAGCGATCAGTGAAGAGGCGGGGCCAGGAGCTGAGTCTCGACCCCTGCAACCACAATTAGGTGAGTACAATTAGGTGAGTACAACCACCCCACACACAGGAGACAGACATGAAGCATTAAACTACAGACCAGTGTCACTGACATGTATAGTATGCAAAATCATGGAGAAAATTATCAGGAGAAGAGTGGTGGAACACCTAGAAAGGAATGATCTCATCAACAGCAGCCAGCATGGTTTCAGGGATGGGAAATTTCCCGTGTCACAAACCCACTGGAGTTCTATGACATGGTGACAGCAGTAAGACAAGAGAGAGAGGGGTGGGTGGATTGCATTTTTCTTGGACTGCAAGAAGGCGTTTGACACAGTTCCACACAAGAGATTGGTGCAAAAACTGGAGGACCAAGCAGGAATAAAAAGGGAAGGCACTACAATGGATCAGGGAATACTTGTCAGGAAGACAGCAGCGAGTCATGGTACGTGGCGAGGTGTCAGAGTGGGCACCCGTGACCAGCGGGGTCCCACAGGGGTCAGTCCTAGGACCAGTGCTGTTTCTGGTATTTGTGAACGACATGACGGAAGGAATAGACTCTGAGGTGTCCCTGTTTGCAGATGACGTGAAGTTGATGAGAAGAATACACTCGATCGAAGACCAGGCAGAAACTACAAAGGGATCTGGACAGGCTGCAGACCTGGTCCAGCAATTGGCTCCTGGAGTTCAATCCCACCAAGTGCAAAGTCATGAAGATTGGGGAAGGGCAAAGAAGGCTGCAGACGGAGTACAGTCTAGGGGGTCAGAGACTACAAACCTCACTCAAGGAAAAAGATCTTGGGGTGAGTATAACACCAGGCACATCTCCTGAAGCGCACATCAACCAAATAACTGCTGCAGCATATGGGCGCCTAGCAAACCTCAGAACAGCATTCCGACATCTTAATAAGGAATCGTTCAGGACCCTGTACAACCCTATACGTTAGGCCCATATTGGAGTATGTGGCACCAGTTTGGAACCCACACCTAGCCAAGCACGTAAAGAAACTAGAGAAAGTGCAAAGGTTTGCAACAAGACTAGTCCCAGAGCTAAGAGGTATGTCCTACGAGGAGAGGTTAAGGGAAATCAACCTGACGACACTGGAGGACAGGAGAGATGGGGGGGACATGATAACGACATACAAAATACTGAGAGGAATTGACAAGGTGGACAAAGACAGGATGTTCCAGAGATTGGACACAGTAACAAGGGGACACTGTTGGAAGCTGAAGACACAGATGAATCACAGGGATGTTAGGAAGTATTTCTTCAGCCACAGAGTAGTCAGAAAGTGGAATAGTTTGGGAAGCGATGTAGTGGAGGCAGGATCCATACATAGCTTTAAGCGAGGTATGATAAAGCTCACGGCTCAGGGAGAGTGACCTAGTAGCGATCAGTGAAGAGCGGGGCCAGGAGCTCGGACTCGACCCCCGCAACCTCAACTAGGTGAGTACACACAGGAGCTGAGTCTCGACCCTGCAACCACAATTAGGTGAGTACACATACATACATACATACATACATACATACATACATACATACATTCATTCATTCATTTGCACTAATAACTCATTCTGCCCGAAATGCCCAGTCATGCTAGGTGTGATAGTGGCTTCTCTGTAATTAGTATTTTATAATATGTAAACCACTCAATATCTTATAATATGTAAACCCCCCATTGTAATCTTTATAGAGAATGAACTTGATTGATTGATTGATTACAGTTGTGACCGGGTGTGGACGTGTGAATGGCTCATTACTTCCTAATTTGTTCATGATTGTGACCATGTATAGACGTGTAGATGATTCATTACCTTTGTAACCTGGGCATGATTGTGACCAGATCTACCTGAGTTCATTACCTCTGTAACTTGTTCATCTGTCAGAACTTTGGGGCCCAGTCCCTGGACCCATTATGTACCTCTAATCATTTGACTACCACCCACAGGATGGTATGGGGTGCATAAACATATTAAACTAACTTGTAAACCGTTGTCCTGTTGCTTCAGTCTCACGTCTCCTGTAAAAAACCCTTGCCCTGTGCTTCAGTCTCACGTCTCCTGTAAACCGTTGCCCTGTTGCTTCAGTCTCACGTCTCCTGTAAACCGTTGCCCTGTTGCTTCAGTCTCACGTCTCCTGTAAACCGTTGCCCTGTTGCTTCAAACTCGTCTCATACAAACCGTTGTCCTGTTGCTTAAGTCTCAAGTCTTGCATAATAAATACATTTCCAAGTCTTATCTCGCATAACATTCTTTAAGAGGGAATGCTCTGATGCCGATGAATTGTTTTAGATCTAAGGAATTGGAGCTATCCTCCCTTTCGTGGATCAAACCTGATACCTCCTATTTCCAGGAGTTGTTTGACCCCCTATTTGTTTACCGCTGTCCCCTGAATATTATAATACAATC